TCCTCCCGCCGCGCCGCACAGCACGCCTCCCGCCGCGGCCCCTCCCACCACGCTCGCTCCCAAGGCCGCATTCCGCGGCAGGGCGGGCGCAGGAGCTGCGGGGCCCCGGCGCTCTCATCCTCACGGGGGAGGAGCGGGTGGCAGCGGGAACGGGGCCCGCCGGCCTACCCCCAAGACGCTCGGAAATGGGGGGACTCTAAAATGCAGCCTGAAAACGGAAATTTTCCCATAAAAGAACCTAGGAGGCACACACGCGCAGGGTTGATCCCCCCACTCTTGTACTTGGTCGCGTCCGCGCCTAGCCCGCTATGCTTCCTGGATGGATTTGCTGCGCGGGTTTCTGGGACTTGGAGTCCCGGTGGGATTCTGGGACTTGTTTCTTAAGTATAGGGAGCCGAGTCTTCTGACTCTATCTCTTGTTTCCCGGGATCGTAGGCATGGAAATCCTGAAAACAGCTTGAGTAACTGAGGGCACTGGAAACTTGGCTTCCTCACGATTTAGATTCTGTTTTCAAGTAAATTCTTCATGCCAATTTCATCGGTCACTGAAATTAAACAGTCCCATTTTGGGGAACAAAATTTGATAACCTGCTCAAGACACTCTTTTTATTTTTTCAAAACAGAGTTTCCTCTGTGTAGCTTTGGCTGTCCTGGAACTAGCTCTGTAGACCAGGCTGGCCTCGAACTCACAGAGATTCACCTGCCTCTTCCTCCTGAGTGCTGGGATTAAAGGTGTGTGCCACCACCGCCCAGCTCATTCTTACATGGGGAGACTATAACATAGGTAGCAAAAGTATTAATGAATGCAACGAAAGAAGAAACTCAACTGGGAGATATCACCGAAGAGACTTCTTCAGGACCCTATACCCAGGCCCCCTATATACCGCCATTCTATGGACCCAAGTGCCCAGTGATTACTTAACTAGCTTCTCATTGGCATTTGTTTTACTGACTCTAGCTAACCGAGAATTAGAATTAATCAGTCCTTGCAACTTACTTTCAGACTTCAAGTCTTGGCTGTGTCACTTCACTTACTACACTTAAGGTAGCTTGAATCCAGCCACCCGCTCAGCTCAAACAGCAACACACGCAAAAAGTTGAAATAATCAAAGATACGGCTTTCTTTATAATCGTAAATTAGGCTTGGGTGCTTAACTCATCAGAACTACTATGTATGACATGCCACAGATTTGGAGTATATGAAGTTCCCACTAAATAACATACCTTTTTTGACAGAACTGAATCATCATGTTAAATATGGATCGATTGCTATCAATTGTAAGTTATAGCTAAAATAAGATGGTCAATTTCTTAATTATTATCTTATTTGTGTGCACCACATGTGTGCCTGGTTCCTGCAGAAGCCAGAAGAGGGCGTCAGATCCCCTGGAAGGATGGTCCTGAGCTGCCATTGGGCCCTGGGAATCCAACCCAGGTTCCCAGGAAGAGCAGTCAGTGCCTATAACCAAGCCATCTCTCCAGCCCAAGATGGTCACATTTTAATTGGATTACTGAAAAAAAATTTATGCTTTGTAATAAATTTGGAATTATATAATGCTCTAGAAAAATTAACTATGACATATAACAAGTAAATATTTATAAAGAAATAGAAAATAATTAACAGAATTTTTTTTTTTTTTTTTTTTTTTTTTTTTAGTTCTTCATCCTTAGGACTTTTGAAAAATCTGTCATTGTTGGCTTCATAATATGGTTTTTAAAAGTGGCCATGGTTAGCTGGGCAGTGGTGGCACATATCTTTAATCCCAGCACTCAGGAGGCAGAGGCAGGCTGATCTATAAAGCAAGTTCTAGGACTTTACGCAGAGCTGTTACGCAGAGAAACTTTATCTCCAAAAACAAAACAACAAAAAAAGACAGCCATTGTTACTCAAGGATTTTAGTAGTTAAAATGTAGAATCTGTAACTATAATTCATATAAATACCACCACACCAAAAACATCCCTTTTTTTAAGGTAATAGCTTAAAAAAATCATTACAGAAGCTGAAGAAACAGCCCAGTGGTTAAGAGCACTCACTGCTCTTCTAGAGGACCTGGGGTTCGATTCCCAGAACCCATATGGCAGCTATGGTCTGTAACTCCAGGTCCAAAGGATCTGATGCCTTCTTCTGGCCTTTGTGGGTACCAGGCACAGACATGCTACATAAACATACATGCAGACAAAACAGACATGTACATAAAATAAAATTAAACTTTAAAAAATTATTGAGTTGCTTTTATTTGGGGCTGGGCACATGTTGAGATCCTAGGACAACTTCTAGAGCATGGTTCTCTCCTTCCACCATATGAGACTTGGGGATTAAACTTGGGTTGTCACCTCAACAGCAGCTGTCTTTCCAGTTGAGCTATCTTGCCTGCCCAAGATAACAGCTTTTAGAGCAGGTGTCATATGCCTGGGGGCCTGGCTACTGCAGAGGATGAGGTAGAAGGATCATTTCAAACCATGAAAAGACCAACTTAGAGGACATGGAGATGGGAGAAAGGTGGAGAGGCAGGGACTAGAGGAGCAGGAAAGATGTTTCCGTGGTGATGACCACAAAGAGCATAACATTCAAATTTTTGAAATTTTGCTGAGCTATACTTTACATAACTTACAAGCCACACATCTAAAGCACATAATTCAAATTTTCAGTATGTTCACAAAGGTGGACAATCTAAATCCAAAATATTTTCATCACTCCCCAGAGAAACAGCCTACCCGCTGGCAATTACTTACCATTCTCCTCAACCTCTCAGGATCACTAATAACTTTTATGCAGCTGTGGATTTCCCGTGTGTGTGTGTGTGTGTGTGTGTGTGTGTGTGTGTGTGTGTGTGTGATTTTACACAAAGCGAATCATATACTATGTAGCTTTTTGTGTCTTTCACTTGGCCTAATATTTTTGAGGCTCATTCACATTGCATCAAGTATCTGTACTTCCTTTATATGGTTAAATAATATTCAACAACAAGGGTATACTACATAAACACTTACATGAACATCTGTGTATTACATTGTCATTTTCTTGATGCTATCATTGTTTTTAATATTGATGAAATCATAATAAGTACCTATTTTGTTGTTGCTGTTGCTTATGCTTTCGATGTGGCTGCATTTTTTAATTCTGTTGGGTGACTCCCTAAGAAGACTCCCTAGTCACATGATCACTATGTCTAATGTCTTGAGGGAATGTCAAGCTGTGTTGCAGAGTGTACAGTTTTATATCCCCACACAGGTATTAATGGTTCCAATTCTCATACCTTTCTTCACCCTGGTTATTTCCCTCCTTTTTATTGCATTTCATTTATCTGAGTGTGTGTGTGTGTGTGTGTGTGTGTGTGTGTGTGTGTGTGTGTGTGTGTGTATGCATGTCACATGGAATGGAGTATGGAAATCAAAGAACAACTCCCTGGAGTTGGTTCTCTCCATCTTCTTTGTGGATCCCGGGACTGAACTGGAGTCCTCCAGCTTGGCAATAAACATCTTCAGTGGGTGACGCATCTTGGCAGCCTTTCCCTCCCTTCTTTATTATAACTAGTGTAGTGGCTGTGAAGTAGCATCTCCTACGATTTTGAAATGCATCAATAGGCTGGCGGTGGTGGCGCACACCTTTAATCCCAGCACTCAAGAGGCAGAAGAAGGAGGATCTCTGTGAGTTTTGAGGCCAGCTGGGTCTACAGTGTGAGTTCAGGACAGCCAAGGCTACACAGAGAAACTCTGTCTCGAAAAACCAAAAAAAGGCAGGCGGTGGTGGCGCACGCCTTTAATCCCAGCACTCGGGAAGCAGAGCCAGGTGGATCTTTATGAGTTCATGGCCAGCCTGGGCTACCAAGTGAGTTCCAGGAAAGGCGCAAAGCTACACAGAGAAACCCTGTCTCGAAAAACCAAAAAAAAAAAAAAAGAAAAAAAAATCAATATAATAATGTTGAGTATCTTTTCATGCTTTTCTTGCCCACTTATATATTTTCTTGGGGTCATTCAGATCCTGTAGCCATTTCAAAATCAGATTATCTATCTCTTTTCATTGAATTGTAAGATTTTAAAAAATACATTCTACAAATTTTTCCTTTATTGGATGATTTTTCAAATGTTAAATTCAATGCAATTTTCTCATTGCATGAAGGAATTTTTTATTACATGCAATATCTTTTCATTTTTTGGTGGTATCACAACATAAAACATTTTAATGCTGAATAGAGTCAGAGTTACCTAGCCATTATTATTGTTACTTATATGTTTATAAATATTTATTTATTTTTTTTGTGCACAACTGTGTGTGAATGTGGGTACACACACGCCACAGCTTGGGTGTGGAGACCAGAGGACAACTCTTAGAAACTACTTCATTGGGGTGGAATCTTTCTCTTATTTTTGCTGCTGAGCTTCCTTCTCCAGGCTGCTGACCTTTGAGCTTCCAGATGATTCTTCTTTCTCCACTTCCCATCTTACTGTAGGAGTGCTAGGTTACAGATATATGTCACTGCATCCCTCTGGTTCTGGAGATCAAACTCCGACCGCCAGGCTTTCAAAGTAAGCACTTTTACCCACTGAGCCATCTTACCAAACCAGATTTAGTCTTTTCTTTAGAGAGGTGCATAGCTTACATTTGGCAAGGTAATTAATTGTAGCACTATTAGGAGGTGTGGCCTTGCTGGAGGAAGTGTGTTACTGTGAGGGCGGGCTTTGAGGGTCTTACATGCTCAAGCTACACCCAATGTGGCATACAGTCTCCTTCCGCTGTCTGCAGATCAAGATGTAGGACTCTCAGCTCCTTCTCCAGCACCATGTCTAACTGCATACTGCTGTGCTTCTCTCCATAATGATAATGGACTAAACCTCTGAACTGTAAGCCAGCCCCAGTTAAATGTTTTTCTTTGTAAGAGTTGCCGTGGTTGCCGGTCAGTGGTAGCACGTGCCTTTAATCCCAGGCAGATCTCTTTGAATTTGAGGTCTACAGAGCTAGTTCTAGGACAGCCAGGGCTGTTACACAGAGAAAACTTATCTCAAAACAACAACAACAACAACAAAACCCAAACCAACAAAATCAAAAAAAAAAAAAAAAACAAAGCAAAGCAAAACAAAACAAAACAAAAACAACAAAAAAATGTGGGTTACACAATTAATTTGCAACAAACCTAAGCTCTTTAGCAAGACTTTGTCTCAAAAGTTCAGGGTCATCTTGGACTATATAGCAAGTTCATGGCCAACTTGGAACCCTGCCTAACAAAACAAAACAGAAGTGTTTATAATCTACACTCCTCAATTTATGCTACTACTCATGTTTGGGTTAGTTTTTGTGTATGATATAGTCCAAGTTTCTTTTAAAAACTATTTTTTTCTGTCTACAGATATTCCACCACCAATCCCTGAAAAGACCCTTAATTCTCTAGTTAGTTGTCTTGCACCCTTGTCAAAAATCCATGGGCCAGAATACTATGAGAGCTTAATTCTGGAATTTGGATTCTATCCCATTAATTGATATGACCATCCTTATTGGGGACTCTCCATTGTCTGTGTTATAGTTATGGAGTAACTTTTTTTTTTTTGAGACAGGGTGTCTCTGTATAGCCCATGCTGCCTTAGAACCAGCTATGTAGACCAGCTGGCCTCAAATTCACCGAGGTCTTCCTGCCTCTGCCTCCTGAGTATTGTGATTAAAGTCTTGCACAACACCTGGCTGGAGTACCTTGTTTTTTGTTTTTTGAGACAGGGTTTCTCTGTGTAACAGCTCTAACTGTTCTGGAACTCACTCTGTAGACCAGACTGGCCTTGAACTCACAGAGATCTGCCTGCCTCTACCTGTCACCACCAGCTGGTTTAGTAACTTTTAAAAGTAAACTTATATGCACTTTATTTTTAGACAACCTACATGATATGTTTTTGTTTTTGTTTTCTTAAAACAAAAAACAAAAAACAATGCCTCCACTCCAAATAAATCACAGTCAAAATAAAAGCTCAATATGGTATAGGTCCCATTTGTCCTAAATTCTGATATTGTGTGGATGGTAAGTAGCAGCAGTTCTGGAGACAGGTGATAGATCCAATTTGTTAACATGTTTCCATCTCTAAGCAATCCTTAAAGAAAATATTGAATAGAGTCACATCATCCTCACAGTAGTCCAGGAGGGCAACCATGCCATCTGGACTCATGTTTTCACCAGTTAAAAGCTGGTAGTTCTTGAAATCAGCGTGGATGTACTTTATTTGCTCTGCAGCCCCTTGGAGTGATTTCATGTGACCTCTCTTGTTCTTTTTGTCCCCGAAGGTGGAGCTGGTTTCTCGTAAGTGATGGTTCATGACACTGTGACTCTGTGCTTTCAGAACCTTCTCTCTCCCCTTCGGCAGAAGCATTTCCACCGATGAGTGAGTCATCGCTGTCACCCTCTGTTCTACTGACCATCTGGCCCTCCACCTCCAGGCACAGCCAGATCTTGTAGATACCGGAGAACAGCTCACATGGCTGATGAGGTCCCAGGAGAAGATCATGATGGGGGCTGGTAGCAGGGGGTCCCAGGAGGTGATCATGGTGGGGGCTGGTGACAGGGGGTCCCAGGAGGTGATCATGATGGGGGCTGGTGACAGGGGGTCCCAGGAGAAGATCATGGTGGGGGCTGGTGACAGGGGGTCCCAGGAGGTGATCATGGTGGGGGCTGGTGACAGGGGGTCCCAGGAGGTGATCATGGTGGGGGCTG